GATATTGAAGTCAAAAGTGACAGTTCAAAATAGTATCTGTTAACGGTTTTTTTTATTAAAATAAAACTTAAAAGAATATGCTATCATGCTATTAAAAAAACGATTAAATTGCTTGAATTGTATAAGAGATATTTACGAAAACTTTTCTTGGGGACTTTTGGAACACCCTGTATATAAAAGATATTAAGGAAGAAAATTTTTTGACATACTTTGAAGGATGTTTCAAAAGTTTGAAATCTCGAAAAAAAGTTGTTTATAGGTATAAAGAGAATAATCTCTAACGTATTTAGGGTGCTGTGTGGGTGTGTAGCGTGGGTGCAGATATGTGGGCGTGCGTATAAAAAGTCAAAATACTAACACACACTCATACCGATACCGCACCCTGCTTTTTCTTGAATGCTAACGTCTTGGATGGAGAAATATCTGTAGTGTGGTCAGTGTCTGTAACGGTGGAGCCGGAAAACTTCAAGTTAAAACTTACATTCATTATTTTCTTCGAAAATACATGTAAGTTTCACAAAATAAAGTAAACACAATAGGAAAAGGGAAAGAAAGACTTCTCATTTAATTAACCGTCATCAGAATTTTGTACTGTTCTATCCATTTGATCATTATTATCATCCTTTGATTTTAATTTTTGCAGTGCAGTTTATCTATTATCTACCTCAGTGAGAAAATCTACTCTATTGATATCATCAAATTCATCAGTACGCATAAATAATCATCGAGCCTACTCAAGGTACTTAATTGAATTTGTTGGATTTGATGTTTCTTCTTCACACTTAAATAAGTAATAAATATCGATATCTGTTAAGAGCTTTCCAAAGACAGCTGTTTCATCATCGTTTACTTCAATATCTCTTGAATGTTTATCGACTCATTTTTCATATAAATTTCTTTGACCAAAAAAAGATACATACAATTAGATAGTTTTTTTAATTGTCTTAGGCACAACTGAAGCATTCACTCGCCCATATGTAATTTAAAAACAATTGCTTGTTTGCCATTTGATTATCTTTAATAAATCTCACACATTCATCTTCATCTGTAAACATGTGTAATACATTGTTAATCGATTCATTTCCTTATTCAATACTAGTATTAAACTCAGTATTACGAATAAAATTGTTGGCATCGTGTGAACGTTCATCCGGTGGTAAACTATTTAGATTAGCGTTATTGGCGAGATCGACTTTACTAGGACAATTTTTCCGATGGTTGTCCATGTTTTTAGTCGGTAAAATGATAGTATGATCAGGTTTGGGTTTGGGTGTGGGGTGTGGATGTGGGTGTGGGTGGGTGTGGGTGTGGGTGGGTAAGTGTGGGTGTGAGTGTAGGTGTGGGTGTGGGTGTGGGTGTGGGTGGGTGGGTGGTTGGGTGTGGGTATAGGGGTGGATATGGGTTTGAGTCTGGGTGTGGATGTAGGTGTGGATGTGGGTGGGTGGGTCGGTGTGGATGTGTCTGAAGATAAAGAGTAGGCGATATCCACACCCCACACCATACGCCCTCACCCACACCCACACTCACACCCACACCCACACTCTCACACCCACACCCACACCCACACTCTCACACCCACATCCACACCCACACTCTCACACCCACATCCACACCCACCACCCACACCCACACCCACACCCACACCCACACAGCCACACCCTCACACCCACCCACACCCACCCACACCCTTGCCCACCTCTAATTTGCAGTGTGCACATGTCTCTATCTTTGGTAAAAAAATCAGCTGATTTCATCGAGCTGTAACGGAGATATTCAATTTTCTTTCCTAGAAAGTGAGTTTTGCACTATACTATATATATTTTTTTCCTATCTGTGAAAAAGTAAAGTTTTCTTCCCGAGGTCAGCAGTGATCTTTAACAAAGGTTGTCACTAACCTTGTCCGTATGGATTTGGAGTGGGGACATGCCTCTAACTTTGGTAAAAACATGAGCCCATTTAGTTGAACCATAATGGAGATATTCCAATCTTTCTTTGGCTAAGGACTTACTGGACACCCTATATTAAGCACAACATAATGATGGCAGAAACAATGAGGAAAAAAAAATTTCTTTTTAATGTGCGTGGGTGTGTATGTGAGTGTCGGTTGGTGTAGATGTAAAGAAGACTCACATCCACACCCACACCCACACCCTCACCACTCGTGTAACAAGATCTATATCAGTTAATTTTAATTAAATTATGCTGAAAACTGCTTTATTATGGGCACTTTCTTTCTGAAAGATGAACATTGTTGGTTATTTTTCACAGCAATGCAATTCAATATGAAC